CAGCTCAAGGCTAGCACTCTACCACTTGAGCCACAGCACTACTTCCGGCTTTTTTCTTTTTGCTTATGTGGTGCTGAGGAATGGAACCCAGGGCCTCTGGCATGCAAGGCAAGCGCTCTACCACTGAGCCACCTTCCCAGCCCCGCCCGTATGAATTTCATTCCATGAAGGCAAGGATTTTACTCATCACTCTATTTTTCATCCTAAAATCAATGCCTGTCGCATAAGCAGTTAGTATCACTTAAAAAAAAATACAAGCATGTGGATCTGAACATTGCAATCTTCTGTTCCCATTTCCAGAAGCATGGTTCTGTTCCCTACTCCCTGACAGCCCAACTCTAACTTATCCTGTTGTCCTCACTCAAATCAGTGGTTCTCAACCTTGGCTGATACATACAATCACTTGGAGAATTTATCTTAGTGACCAGACCAGATTTTAGACCACTTAAGTCAGCATCTTTAGGAGGAGGAAGCAAAACCATTGAGCTTCTTCACCTCCCCAACAGGGAGCAGCCAGGTTGAAAACTACTGGTTTAGATTACTTCTTCTCAATGTCTTAGTTGGCCAATTTCTTCTTATTCTTCTTTATCAATACACATATCCCATATTCTGTATAGGACAGAAGTTTTGCAGAGCTTATATTGTTACAGCTGTCTGAGTCCTGTAAGCTTCCCAACAGATTGTACAAGAGCTGGCGCTTATTCACTCACCGGCCATTATACAGTGCCTGATATCTCAGTTATCTCACACAATATCTGAAGCCAAATCTTTTCTCCTTTTTATTGGCATACATTAATAGTACAAAGAGGAAACTAAAAAATTTAGTGTAGTATTATCATGCACCTTAAAATCTTAATATCTGAACCTTAAATTTTAATGTAGTATTAGCAGAGGTTTCGTTTCACTTTGGCAAAGCAAATTCCTGCTTTTATGCACAGGTTTTTTTTTTAGGAAGAACATTTGCAAGCAAAAGAGTAGGTTGACATCACCTTGAGAAACATGTTCAACTGAAATGAGTCTGTCACTAATAATTGGCTCTCATCACATGAGGCTGAAACAAGTTGTCATTCATCAACTGGATAAGTCCAGTACCAGTGCTGAGGGTTTTTTTTGTCTTGGCAATGAAGCAATCAGTCTTGTCCTAGAGTTGGAGGATACTTTGTTTTCCATGGACAGTCTAGTAATTGCTGAATTAACAACTGGGGAAAGTTCCTAAGCCTCTATAAGTAAGACCTTCCAGCTCTACAAGTTGGAGCCAGACCTACTTTCACACAAGTTAAAGACATAAAAGGAGACTGGCTTCAACAAGTTAAAGACATAAAAGGAGACTGGCTTCAGATGGTGAAGAGCCTTGATTGCCACGAGAAAACTCTCAAACCTTATTCTAGAGGCGTGGTAATTTCTTAATGCTGTAATATGTAACTTAAGACAAGATGGAGATATGGTGAGAAGCAAAAAAATCACAGGCAAGGAGAGCATGAGGCAGGGAAAGGGTGAATAGATAACCTGTTTCAGACTCATTCAGGCTTTCTTAGCTTCAGCACATTCTGACAGAGCAGCCTTGGGAAGCAATTAACAGGCTGGATCTGTTGCTTAGAAATTTAGAGCCAGCACTAAAGAGTTTGGATGCTGAAGGCAATGGTTTAAAGCTGCCTATGACCCATCTTATAGTAAGAAAAGAAGAAAGCATGGATAGAAGAATTGTAACGAGCATGGATAGAATTGTAACAATAAAAAAGTTAAAGGACAAGAAGCAGTCTAGGCAGGAAAAGACTGAGCAAACAGTAGAAATGGTGGGAGACTATAAAACAGTGTGTCATGAGAACCAAATGTTTTGAGAACCCTGACCTGATGGGTAGCCAAGGGAGTGGGATATGTGTATTCAGCATTCCTTTCATGATGGATAGTTTAATGCCTAGTTGTCTGACCTGCAACCAGAAGACTCCTCACAGGAGAGACTGACTTCCATTGCCAGAGCTCTGAAGCTCTTGTGTGGCACCTGAGCAGTTTATACTTGTGATAGGTGATAGATAGATAGATGGATAGATAGATAGATTATAGATAGATAGATAGATAGATAGATAGATAGATAGATAGATAGATAGATAGATAGATAGATAGATAGATAGATAGCCTGGTTCTCATATTGGGACTCATCTTTTAATTTCCTCAGCATCTTGGGGGAAACTAGGCCTGGGGCAGCCCCTAGGTCTTCAGTTTCGAAACACTGAAGTGCATCATAGCAGTAGTGCCTAAATTCAAGTATGTTCATCAACAGATCTTGGGTGAAAAAGGGCTCCTGAATTGGGGCAGCCCTCTCTTCCAGGGCCACACCAGACAGGGATGAAGAGTCAACAGAGGTAGCTACACACTAGTGGCTCACACCAGTAGTCCTTGCTACTCTGGAAGCTGACATGTGAGAATCACAGTTCAAAGAAGTCAGCTGGGTCAGGAAAGTCTGTGAGACTCTTATCTCCAGTTAATCACCAAAGGAAGCCAGAAATAGAAGTGTGACTTGATCAAAAAAGCCAAGTGAGAGCAAGAAGCTAAGTTCAAGCCCAAGTACAGGCATGTATACATGCGCGCGCGCACACACACACACACACACAAAGAAAGGCTATAACTCTCAGTTTACGCTGCTTAGGGAATAGAGCATGGGTAAGTTCAAGTCCCAGGGCAAATGTCTGAATGGCCTATTTAAGGAAGTAGCAGGAAAAGCAGGGGTACACAACCTATCCATAAAAGCAGATGTCAGTAAGTTATTACTTATTACCCTAGCTAGCCATCAGCTAGGACTTTGCCACCTTTGCTATATCACATTCCTGACATAGCAAGAGTAAAAGGACCAGTATGTGTCCAGAGCAGCAAATACTAAAGGCCAAGGAGGCTGAGCCTCAAGATTGTGCTGAGATTTGACAGTGGGGTCATCTACCATTAGTACAAATGGCCAACCCTAGATCTTAGAGATGGAGAGAATGAAGTCAAGAGTAGGGGTAAAATGTAAGGGGTTTTCAGAAGTGTCATTGGTAAAGGAATGAGCACATAGGAAGGCTGAGGAGGGAGCCAGCTCACATTAAGCCAGGTAGTTCGGAGTCATGCTGAGAGCGGAGGCCTAGAATCAGCCAGGCTGCCTGGAATGCTGGAGAGTCCCTGATTTTATCAACTCTTTAACATCTCAGTGTCTTGCTTTCTTCACCTGTACGCTGGAGGCAGAATTCAACCACCGCCCCACACTGCAAGGGCAAGGCAACCACTCAGCATGAGCACGGTCCTCGGCATAGAGACGGCAGAATGTGCCCTTGTCCTGCTCGTGAGGGGCTTGCACGGAGTGATTAGTGAGCCCACAGCCGTGTCTCAGTGTAGTCAGAGCAAGGAGGGGGACTTCTCTGCCTGGGGTATGACATTCAAAATCAATTGATTTGCCTCATGTGCTCTCTGGGCTTGGGGGATTATGGCTACAATCATAATTCCACATTGTCTCTCTATGATCTTCCAGGTTAATCATGTCCGGACAAGGGACTTTGACTGCTGCCTTGTGGTGCCTCTCATAGCGGAATCTGGAAATAAGCTGGACCTGGTTATTAGTAGAAACCCGCTGGCTTCCCAGAAGTCCATAGAGCAGCAGAGTCTACCTGGAGGAGACTGGAGTGAACAAAACAGTGCTTTCTTCCAGCAGCCTAGTCACGGTGGTAATCTAGAGACACGAGAGCCCACTAATACCTTATAGCAACACTTTTATAAAGCAAGACAAAAGACAATATCTACATGGTGCTAAAAAAAAAATCCCTCTGAGATTTCTGTGACATTTGAAGCACAGATAATCATACGGCATTGACTACAAGCACAGGGGTCTTTTAAATCTCTCTCATGGCTCATGTTCACTCCCTTTTCAACTTGAAGAGGTTTCTTTTTTGGTGACCAATCACTATGGTAATAAGGTAGGCAATTCCATGCCAGGCCCAATGGTAGAGAAAAAAAAAGAAAAAAGAAAAAAAAAAAGGAAAAACAGAAAAACAGACCACCCCTCCCCATAAATTAACATCAAAGGAGTATTTTTTACCAGTTCATCTATCACTTTTTACAAAAAGAAATGTCTGTTTAAAAAAAAAAGAAAAATGTTCTCTTACGATAATTCCCTTAATTCACTTTGAAATCAGTTTCTTACTATGAAGTCATTCATGTAAGAACTTGAACAACATGGGTTTTCATGAAGCTGGCTCTGCTGAGGGCTTAGTACTGAGTAAGCTGCTTGGGACTGCTGTAATGGGAGGGGTCCAGGGGATAAAATTAAGCTATCTGAAAATGTTTCAGCAATGATGCACGTAGGAGACAATAATAGGTGGTGGTAAATGTTTTGCTCAAATATAGGAATGATTTTATCTAGATGTATACTATTCCCTATGCAACAAATTATCAAACAGGATATGTCTTGTGACCTGTTATTGTTTTTTAAGGACACATTTTTTAATAGCTAAAAATCGCTAATAATGAATTAGACTGTGTAGTAACACTGAAAATTAGTTCTACTATCCTATTTTTAAAATTCAAGACTAAGAATTTAAGAGAGAATGAAGAGTCTATTAAAAAGAGATTCATCTTAATGATAGGAAAATCATACTGCTTGACAAGTTTTGAACATGGGGAAGATGGAGGGGGTGTACAGCACATGTACTTAAAAATGACACTGGACCATCTTTCGTTCTGAGCCATGCCACTTACAGACACTGTAAATACATGTTCCACAAAATTCATTGCCAATTATGACCATCCCTCAAAGCAATAAATTGTGGCAGTTGCTTTTAATGTTTGTCAGCAACTGTTTTAATTTGTTCAGATATTTTGAATAGCTACGCTAATAACTATTATTTGGTAAATATAAAAAATAGATCTGTATATTGATGGTAGAATGTTGAAACAATTATTTTCCAAACATGTTCATTTTGGTCAATAATTCAAACAATCACTTAGGCAAAGCATCAAACACTGTGTACTTTGTTTTAAGGAAGAAGTTCACCTTCTTGTGCAAAGAAATATATTATTTCAATCATATTTCAGAACCACCAGGGCAAGAAAGTATAGAGCAGAATCATGTTAAGGAAAAAAAAAAGATCATGAGTCACTTAAATATGTATTTTTATTTGTAACAAACAAGTATTAAACTGTAAAGTATTTTTGTACAAATTTAATACTTTAATAGCATGGTATTTATCGTCTATGTATGGTTTTGGGGAATTCAAAATGTTGCAAATATTTGTATGGGGAAAAAAAATCCCTCTACCAAATGGAATAAACAGTGATTTTAAAAAGCAAAAAAAAAAATGCATCTATGGTGCATTGAATACATTTTTGTGTTCTAGCTTGAATCCTATATAATGTTCTGAAGTGGAAGGGTTTACCAGAACCTTTAAAAAGCATTATGAACAAGTGGGTTGACCGTGAACTTTAAAGTCACAGTTAGATTTGGAAGCCAGATTAACTGCCTGTAACACTGAGGGCTATATTTGCACTATAGGACTGTTGGAGGAGTAAGGGAGCAGTATGTGAAAATGGCTAAAAACATCTGCACATAGGAACCCTTCCAAGTGGTAAAACATTGTAACTTAAGGATCATAAGATCTGCCTTCACATAAAACTACACATACTATATGAGGAACATTTATATTAACTATTAAAATTGTAAACTTTGTGTTATTATTTAAAAAACAATCATACCTATAGTCCCTGGCACAAGCCCTTAGAGTCACATTCATTTTTACACAGTTGCATTCTGGATGCACAAGGTTACACTCTAATCACATGGGAGAATATATGTTCTTTTCAGTAGCCCAGGAAATTTCTCCAAAATAAACCACATTATAGGATATAAAATAAGGCTTCACAAATACAAAAACAATAGAATCTCTTGTATATTATCAGATCATGATGTAATCTGAAATTAGAAGTGCAACTAAAATATGGAAAGTGATTAATACATATGGAAAGTGAATAATATACTTCCTTCCATTGAAGGAATTGGGAGGAAATTTCTAAAATTTTCAGATATAGCAGGTCTAACAAGGGAAGTTTATAGCCATGAGTGCCTATGGTAAAGATATATACAAAAGAGAGCTCTTAAACAAACAACTTCATGACTTAATGATGTACTTCAAGGTATTAGCCAAAACCAAAATTAGTAGATGAAAAAAAAAAGTATAAAGATCAAGATAGAAAGTAATGAAATAAGAAACTCAAAAATCCATACAAAGGATCAATATAACAGTTGGTTAGATTAACAAATGCTTAATCAAACTAATCAAAAGAAAGAGAAGACATACACAAATTAATAAGAGTCAAGATGGGAAGGGGGATTTAAAATATACACTGAAATCAGAGGATGATTATGGAATATTTTTAAATTTTTATATTCTAAAATGTTAGAAAATACAGGAAAAAATATAAATTTCCAGACACATATGACTTACCAAAATTGAACTGAGATAGTATAAACAACCTGAACAGATCTTTAACAAGCAATGGTACTGAAGCAATAATAATGAACATCCCAATTAAAAAAAATGTTCAGGACCAAATAGGTTAACTGCTGACTTCTACCGAATCTTTAAAGAACACTGATGACCCTCAAACTATTCTATAAAATAGCAAGGGAAGGAATTCCAAATGCATACTACAAAACCAGTATTACTCTGATACCAAAACAAGAATACAAAAAATTTTTTAAAAGGATGGAGGGAAAGACAAAAGGAAGAAAGGAGGGAGAAAGGGAGGTGAGGACTAATTTTCCAAATGAACATAGAAAAACATTCTCAATAAGATGCTTGCAGACCGAGTTAAACAATACATTAAAAAGGTCATATATTAGCTGGGAATGTGGCTTAGTGGTAGAGTGAGTGCTTAGCATGCATGAAACCCTGGGTTGGATTCTTCAATACCACATGAACATTAAAAGCTGGAAGTGGTGCTGTTGCTCAAGCGGTAGAGTGCTAGCCTTGAGCACAGAGAGAGAGGGTCAGGGACAGTGCCCAGGCCCTGAGTTTAAGCCCCAGGACCAGCAAAAAAAAAAAAAAAAAAGTCATATACCATGATTAAGTGGGTTTCATTCCATGAATACAAGGATGTTTCCATATATGCCTCAGTAAATGTAAAACAGTATAAAAACAGAACCAAAGGCAAAAGTCACATTATCACTTCAACAGATGCAGAAAGGGGCTTTGATAAAATTAAGCATCACTTCATTATAAAAGCCCTGAGGAAAGAACAGAAAGAGCACATCTCATCATACTGAAAGCCACATGATAACCCTTCAGCCAGCATTATACTCAATGTGGGGAAAAGGAGACTATTTCCTCTAAACTCAGGAGCAAGGCAAGAGTGTCTATTCTCTCCACTTATTCCCTGTTGTGTTAAAATTCCTAGCCAGAGCAATAAAGCAAGAGAAGGAAATAAAAGGGATAAAAATAGGAAGAAGTAAAAAAAAAAATAGGAAGAAGTATATGCTGGGCATATGAGCTCATACCTGTAATCCTAGCTACTCAGGAGGCTTAGATCTGAGAATCATGGTTCAAAGCCAGCTGGGGCAAGAAAGTCCATGAGACTCTAATCTCCAATTAACCACTCAGAAAACCAGAAGTGACACTGTGGCTCAAGTGGTAGTAGAGTGGTAGCCCTGAGCTGAAGAGCTGAGGGGCAGCACCCAGGCCCAGAGTTCAAACCCCATGACAGAATTTTAAAAAAGAAAGTTACATTATCTCTATTTGCAGATGATATGTATCTGTACTAAAAGATCCCACAGACTCCATCAAAAACTTCTTAAATATGATAAACACTTGGCAAAGTAGTAGGATACAAAAATCCACCTATCAGTAGCTTTTCTACAGACCAGTAATGAGCATGCTGAGAAAGAAATACAATCTCATTCGTAACAGCACCAAAAAAAACAAAGAAATAAAATACCTAGAAATAAGAAAAATAAAATTGCATAATTTATAGGAATAGAAGGAATTGGATGTCATCATATTGAGTGAAATAAGCCAAGCTCAGAAAGCTAACCATTACACATGTTTTGCTCAGATCTAAAATAATGATGATAATGGGACATGAGTGCCCCGCGGCCAGCAGCCAATGGGCTGAGTATTCAGAAGAGGGCTCTGGGAGTGGGGAGAGGATCAAAGAACTTTACACGTAAGAGAGCATGAGAAAACCCACCAAATACTCTTTGAAAAAAGAGGGAGAGAGGAGTTCTATAGTGAAAACTATAAAACACTGAAGAATGAAATTGAACACTAAACGATACAGGTTCATGAATCAGCAGAATGAATGTGAAACTGCACGTATATAAAGGCAAGTATATAAAGCCAAAGTACATTAGTGGTTGCTTAAGAGTAGGGGATTATGGATAAAAAGGATGCAGATTTGGGGAAAGGAAGACATGAACTATCCTAAAATTAACTGTGATGACTACTGCGCAACTGAGTGAATATACTATTTAATACACTTGTAATGGTATGAACTGCTTATAAATCACATCTCCACTAATCTGTTAAAAAACAACAACAACAACACTAAGGTAACAAGTACATTTTTCTTTCACTTTTCCTTTTACTATTTGTCCTCGTTAATTATGTTTCATAAGAATATACATTCAATTAAAATATCTATTTCTCAGACTGAGTCTGGAAATTCCAATTCAGACACACCTGAATACAATATAGCAAGAAAAGCAGTCACAAA